CCAGCAGCTATCAATAGCTTCAGTTATGACTAGGGGTCCATACGCCCATCTCCTCACTCCATGCTAGAATACTGACTAGCTTGATCTTGGTAGGCAACCACAGGTGCATGAGTTCTTGAATGCAGTGGTCCTGTCAGGTCCTGAAGATTCTGTTTGGCTCTGGTCCTTCCCAACCTCTTGCTCTTACAATCTCTCTGTCCTCTCTTCCAAGGCAGTCCCTGAACCATGGGGGAATGTGATAAAGATGTCCCATTTGTGACTGAATATTCCACTGCCACTCTGCTCTTGTACTTTGAATGTTTGTGAGTTTTGCAATGGCTACCATCCACGGGGCAAATAAGCTTCTTCAATTGATCTAAGAGCTGCATTAATGTATAGTTATGAAGATGCAGATTTAGAGGGCAGTTTGCTATGGTGTTCATTTAGCAGAATAATAGTAGCTCTTCTCTGGGACCTGTAAGCTTCTCAGCCGTGGGTTCTTAGACAGTTATAACACCAGACCTTTGATTCCTCCTATGGGATTAAATCCAAGGGGGAAGAGTGGTCACTTTCATACCATTCGTGACACTATTGCACCATGGGCATATTTGGCCACACTAGTCATTATTGTAGTTTACAGGTTTATGGATGGTTAGGACTGACTGTTGATGACTTTTCCCCCATAGCAGCCTACATAGCACCTCCTGACATCGAGAAAGTTAGCTAGCAGGGAGGAAGATTCATGGCCAGTACCAACTTGATTTCTCCATATCTTGTTATCTAAACGTCTGGAATCTTCACCAATAGGGTCTTGTGATCAAGTTCTGGTAGGCAATCAAGAGCATTGGCCACGGCTTGTATTGTATTGGGACCTTCCTCGATAGTTCTTCTGGGCTTTCTATGTGACAACCTGTGGTTTCTCGGAGGAGTATTATCCCTTGTGCAGGGTGATTGCAGTTAAACTAATGCATATGTGTGTACATAGGTGTCTGTGTCTGTGTATATGTGTGTGTGTGTTTTCTTATGGCCTTTTCAAATATCCTTCATGCTACCCCTCTACCACTTCCTCCTTTGCCTTGCCTACCATCTCTCTACCCACCTAACCTTCCCTCCCCATTATTTCACTTTCCTCCTTGGTATCCTTTGCATTCCACTATCCCCCTGTTCTGATTAGATCTTTTTTTTTTTCAACTTGATGCAAGCTAAAGTTATCTGGGAAGAAGAATCTCAATTAAGAAAATTCTTCCATCAGATTGAGCTGTAAGCAACTAAGTTTGTAGAACAGGTTCAGCCCACTGGGGGCATTGCCACCCATGGTTAGGAGGTTCTTGGTGGTATAGGAAAACAGGCTGAGAAAATCACTGGGACTAAGTCATCTATGACTCCTTGTTCACTTTATGCCTCCAGGTTCCTGCCTTGAGTTCCTACCCTGGCTTCTTTCAGTGATGACTGTAAGCTAAAACAGACACCTTCCTTCTGAAATTGCTTTTGGTTGCAGTGTTTATCACAGAAACAGAAACCAAAATGGAACACCTCCTCCCTTAAGATCTTTCTTCCTCTTCCCCACCAATAACCCCTTTCTAGTTTCCATTGATACTTCGAATTAAACACACAAATCTAAAAATGTGATGTCAGGATCCACATTTGAGTGGGACAAACACTTATGTTTGTCTTTTTGAGACTGGGCTATTTCACTCACTATAACATTTTCTAGGCATCAATTTTCCTGCACATCCCATCATTTCACTTTTCTTTACAGTTGAATAAAATTCCATTGTGTATAGCTACCACATTTCCATTATTCATTATAGTTCATCTTTGTAGCACCCTCATTCTGTTCTCATCATGCTGTAAGGTTGGTTGTTGTTTGTGTTTAGCTGACCCACAGCATCTACTCCCCATTCCTCCTGATCCTCACATTTCTTGCCCAGTGTACATTTTTTTCTTCCCTAAACTATATCCCTTAGTAACAAACTCCCTCAAGTTTACTTTTCTGAGAATCACTTTATTGTGCTAATCTCAAAATATTGTCTCATTAAATATAGTTGTTTTGCTCTTAGTACACTGAGTACATTATTTAAATTTCCTATGGCTTCTATTACTGCAGCTGAGAAGTTGCCATAGCTGTTTGGTCTTTATTGGTAACCTGCCCTTTCTCCCTGGTTGGTAAAGGTGGTATTAAATATCTTTGTACAGCTTTACCATATGTATTTGACAATTCTCAACCACTCAGTTTTAAGAATTATCCCTATACCCTTCCTTCTCCTCTTCTTGCCTTCCTTCTGTGAGTAGAGTATAGAGTAGTGAGGACTTCTGTTCTGTCTTCCATGTCTCTGAACCTCCTGAGATACTCTCTACTTCCTTTGTATTACATTTATGTAAGTGATCCATGGTAGACCTCTTTACTCTGTCATCCCATTTTCTCTTATTAACATCCTACTGTTATTTACTTTGCTATTTATACATAATTTACCACGCTATCAAGCCCCACTTCTTGGCCCTCTCCATTGCCTCCATACAGCCTACCTTAATCTCCCTTTTATTGTATCTTTCTAGCATTATCTATCCTTTATGAGACAAAATGGTGTAGAGCAAATAACCCTGCACTTGGAGCTCTGAGGACCCAAGTCTAAGTCTGGACTCTACCCTTAACATGTCTGTGTCCATGGGAAGTCCAGAACCTCTGTATTCTCTGTTACAATCTCTTAATAACAAACTGTTATGAAGACTAGATGAGATGGGGGTCATAGTGCCAGCTTGTGTCCAATGCTGGGTCTTACATTGGTTTCTCATGGCCCCTTATTACAACCTCTGGATTTCATGCCTCAAAATGGAATCATTTCTATAGGAGATTCATGATGAGAAAGCTAAGTACCAATGTTATGACTTACAAATGTAGTAATGATGTAGATCCTAGGATAGGAAGCCCCTAACTGGTGTACAATCTTCTTTTAGTATCATTTCTGTTGCTATAACAGAATGTGGGGATAAAGGGTTATTTTGTTTACAGTGCCAGGTTGCAGTCTATCACTTGAAGCTGCTCAATACCAAATATAAAGTCAAGAGCAGAAAATAAGTGAAAGTGTGTATGTTTAATGATGTTAGGTTTCTATATTTTTATATAGTTCAGGACCCCAATCTAGGGAATGGAGCTGCCTGCTTTCCTGCTGGGTCTTCCTGTTGCAGAATATTTGTTTAAATATGCAAAGATGTTTTGCAAATTTTTAACTATTTAAAGTTGTGCTGCATTTGTTTATTTTGCAGAATATTTGTTTAACTTACCTTGTCTGGTTGGGGAGAGGTAGCCATTTTGGTTGCCATTTGTTCTGAGTCCTGGAAGAGGATATGAGCAGTAGTCCCCAAGCATGTTGACTGTCCTTAAAGGGTTATTTGGCAATGTGAATACATGGGTCCCTTACATCAGGCACAAGGAACATAAAAGGCAGGACCCTTGCAAGTAGCAAGCAGTGTAGAGTAGGATGTGCTACAATTCATTGTTCTTCTAAAACAGCAGAAGATAGGACCAACCAAAACCCACAACTATTACCCGGATTAAAAAAAACACCAACCAAATAAAAACATCCAGAACATTTTTTCCCTCAATATATGTTTTTACTTAAATTAGAAACATGAATGCTTCACATGTCAATCCCAGCTCCCTCTCCCACCCCTCCTACCTTGTCCCTCCACCAGTCCCCCTCCAGCCCCCCACCGATCCCCATATCATTCCCCAAGGAGGGTGAGGCCCTCCTTGGCAGGTGGGCGGATCTCCAGAGTCTGTAATTTCATCCAGGGCAGGACCTAGGCCCTTCCCCATGTGTCCAGGCTGAGAGAGCATCCCTCTATGTGGAATGGGCTCCCAAAGTTCATTTGTAGGCCATGGTAAATGCTGATCTACTACCCAAGGCCCCAGAGATTTCTGAAGATTCCTCACTGACACTACATTCATGGAGTCTGGCCTCTCAGCCATCAGCCTGGGGTTCAAGAGCTCCCCCTTGTAATCTGGAATGTTTTTGTTGGATTTGAAAGCCATAATGTACCTGTGGGATAGGTCTGGGTTATATTCATATAAATATCAAAAAGCATTGGAGAAGTTAAGTGTTTGTCAGAAGATGCTTTGGTATGGGGAGGCACTGAAGAATAAATCTACCTCTTCTGGCTTCCTCGCCTTTTCCTACATCCATGATCTCCAGAGTTTGACTCAGCCAACATGTGGCTTTTCCCAATCACTTGGATGAAGGCATCTTTAGGAAAGCATTGCTAGGGGTTGCTGCCAATGCATAAGTAATTCCAAGGCCAGACCTGACCTCCATGCTGTGATGGTACCACATGGCATAGGTTGAAGCACCTCAGAAAGGTCTTGTGGGAAATGGAGTTTCATTATTTGTCCCATTAAGGAATCTTGTGCTCAGTATGCATAGGCATTCAGAGGAAGCTTCCTTCATGCTGAGGGGCTGCATGTGCCCCAAGACAGCTGTAAAGAAAATTGTAAACATACTCAAGGTGTTATGATTTTGCTATGACAAAGTTGTGCTTCAATGTCACAAGGTTGGGTCCTCCTACCTTAAGGGAAAGCACTATTCAGGTTTCATCTACTGTACCAGGTCATTGTGGCATGGTCCTTCATCATTCTGGTTAGTCATTAACTCTGGACTTTAAGTCTCTCTAGTATTTGTAATCAATAGATGCTATTAATTCCAGCTCATTAGTAATTTCTTGTTTACCTAATTAATCCAGATTAGTGTGGTTTAATTTGGAAGAAAGCATGGGCCACTCTGGTCCATAGGAATGCGGTCCTCAGGCTTGTGGCTTATTACTTCTGCAACAGCAGGCAGAGACCAGCAACCCCCCTCCCCAGGCCTTTCTCCTTCCTTCCCATACCCCAGACAGCATGGTTGACCTGTGAACTGAGCCAGAGAGAAAGGGGTTGGGGATGACTTGGCTGTGGAGTAGAAAGAGGTATAGAACTTATAAAGGCCTCTTAATTTTTCCTTTCCTTTTCCTTTTTTTTTAAACATTAGGAATTATTAGCCGAGAGAATGCAGAAGACCTTCTGGAGAATATGACCGAGGGAGCATTTCTGGTCCGGGTCAGTGAGAAGATCTGGGGTTATACCCTATCCTACCGCCTGCAGAGAGGCTTCAAGCACTTCCTTGTGGATGCCTCTGGGGACTTCTACAGTTTTCTGGGAGTGGACCCCAATCGCCATGCCACCCTCACGGATCTCATTGATTTCCACAAGGTATTCCTCTTTCAAGTGTTAGTAAGTTGTGGAATTGGCAGAAAATTAGGCTGAAGAGAGCACGGAGCAAGTGCAGGCTACAAGCTTAAGGCTGCAGGGTCTCAGAACTACGGCACGTTCAGGTAGAAGAGGCCAGAGGTTGTCCAGGGCGGTTAGGGGTCCATGGTCTCCCCTTTGCCTCATTCTTTGACCTCCTATCCATCTGTAACCCTGCCCCCCAGGCCTCTCTCCTTTGAGTGCCTGTTGTCAGCACAGGGGTTGACAGCTGGCTCTCTGTCCAAGCCCTTGTCTTAGTCTCACGTCTCGGAACAGCTGCTGCTCAGAACTCTGGCAGCTTTGAAGCAAGCATCCATGTGGCTGTAGCAACTCATCTCTACAACAGAGTCACCTCTTTTCTTGTCTGATCTTGTTGCTCCACTTGGGACATGTGTGACTTTGTCCAGGTCATTTAGTCTCACCGAGCTTCCATATCCTTGGTTTTTGTTGCCCTTACAACAGAGCAAAACATACTGATCAATTCATAAGGGAAAGAAACCCATAGTTTTAGTTTTGGAATCTCAGAAGTCCAAGATGGAGGGACTGTCACTCAAGGAGAGTGATACTTAAGGAGATTTTCTTGCTACATCATCTCCTGTTAGAATGCGGAAGATGAGCTGGGCGTTGGTGGCACACGCCTTTAATCCCAGCACTCGGGAGGCAGAGGCAGGTGGATCTCTGTGAGTTCGAGACCAGCCTGGACTACCAAGCGAGTTCCAGGACAGCCTCCAAAGCCACAGAGAAACCCTGTCTCGAAAAACCAAAAAAAAAAAAAAAAAAAAAAAGAATGCGGAAGATGGAAGGAGGGAGGGAGGAAGCGAGAAGAAGAGAATGGACAAGTGCAAGAGGGGTTCAAATATGGGTCTGTGGTTCTGGCTCAGTGGGTAGAGTGCTTGCTTTGTGAGCATCACACCTGAGCTCGGGGCTCCAGCACCCATGTGGAACACAGTCATGGCAGCATACGTCTGTACCCAGGTTCTAGGTTGAGAGTGAGATGGTGGAGACAGGCAGATCCTGAGGGATCATCAACCAGCCAGTGTAGCCAAGATGGCAGGTTTCAGGCTCAGAGGCCCTGTCTCACAAATTAAGTTGGAGAGTGACCTCTGGCCCCCACACTTTCCTGTGTGCACAGGCAAGATCACTCTCATATACACATGCAGACACACACGCATCTCTCTCTCTCTCTCTCTCTCTCTCTCTCTCTCTCTCTCCTCCCTCCTCTCTCTCTCAGTCTCTCCCTCTCTCTCTCAGTCTCTCTTTCTCTTTCTCTCTCTTACACACACACACACACACACACACACACACACACATTTGCATAAGGGAAAACTCACGTTATAACAAGGAACCCATTCCTGAGGTAATGATTTTGATCTACTTGTGGAGGCAGAGCCCTTTGACATGATTCTGGGTCCTGTCCCTCATGTCTGGAACACAGGCTGTTGGGGAGCACACTCAAAGTGTAACATCAAACATATGAGCACTCACACAGTGCTTATTTGTGACCTTGTGAACTCTAAACAAGATTGTATCTACAACTGCATCCTGTGACTGTCCACTGAGTATGGAGACCCTGTGTCCAGTACTCTATCATTTGTCTGTCATCGACCCACATCGGGAAAGATGCTGTCTTACAAATGTCTCATATATATCATAGTGAGAAGCAGCTTTTGGTTTAATGCAGTTGTTGGCAGCTGTCATAACAGGAAGAACAGCTGTACCTCATCAACAAGAAGGGAAGGCTCAGAGATTCTGGGAAAAAAGTTATGAGAACTCTCGGTCTAACAGCTACTTGAGTTTCCCAGGTGTAGAAGGTGTCACAGAATTGCTTGCACTGAGATTTTTTCCGTAATAGTGTCTCTTGAATTGTATATTGCTTTTAAAAAAATTTATTCATTCACAAAAAACCCAGTTCTTGACATACCTCCTCACCTGGCCTTATGAATAAAAGATGCAAAAAATCACCCGTCTAGCTAGGCATTACTAGAAATATCTGTAATCTTAGCACTACTGATGCTGAGGCAGGAGAATGACCAGTTCAAGGACAGCTTTGGTTACATAGCTATAAATAACAACAACAATATCAAAACTCCCAACTAACCAAAGCAGCAGCAACACTACACCAAAAGCAGAGAGAGAGAGAGAGAGAGAGAGAGAGAGAGAGAGAGAGAGAGAGAGAGAGAGAGAGAGAGAGAGAGAGAACTGTTTATTCATAGATACTTGTGCTCAGAGTACTACTGTGGAGCTAGACTTGGTCAGGGTGGATTTCTACTTGTGTTGGGAAGGATCTTTAAACTGCCGGGGTAGGAGGAAGAGAGTGTGTGGATTCTGGTAGCATTGTTCTGGGTTAAGCATACATGCCCTCATAATTACTGTGTCCCCTATGTTATAGAGGTACCTTAGCCCTCTTCACAGACCAAGAAACCAAGACCAGGGAGCCCAAGGCACTTGGCTAAGTTCTCATGGCTGGTACCAGCTGCAATCAAGAGTTAAGCCTCTGACTGCCTTCCTCTCCAGTTTGTGCTTTCCACTGAGCCCTGTGTTTGTTTTTTTTCTACTCAAAACAAACTACTTCACTAGCTATGGCTCCTTGTCTCCACCAGTGTTTCAATCAAAGTGTCAGTGCCCAGCTCTCAGGGTAGCTTCTGCACAGGAAGGCCAGACCAGATGTCTCAGAAGGGCTTTATTCATTCCATATTTAAATTCTGGAGATCAGCAATTTTATTCTAGCGCTACACAGAGATATCATCCATGCCCACATGGAGGTCTGGTGGTCAGTTTTGACAAATTAAATTTTAATTATGCTATTAGTTTGTGATTACATTAATATGTCAACCTCATCTATTTCCAGACCCCCAATTCCATCTTCTGTGTTGAATTGCTAGTGTGCTGTGTGTTATTTGCTGGGCAGTAATAGCAAAACTCATGTACATAAGAAAATACATAGTTTTGTGATTTTTTTTGAGACAGGGTTTCTCTGCTTACAGCCCTGGCTGTCCTGGAACTCACTCTGTAGACCAGGTTGATCTCAAACTCACAGAGATCCACCTGCTTCTGTCATATGAGCGCTGGGATTAGAGGTATATGTCACCACACCTGCCTTTGTAGTTTTGTGAGTTTTACAGCATATAACCCAACAATTTAACCTCCAACTCCATATTTAATAATATGTAGAAGGAAGCGTTTAAAGTCGTGGTCCTGGAACAGAATGCCAAGTTTAAATCCCAACTTTATTATTATGCTTGGCTTTGGACTGCTTACTACTCAGGCGTTTGTGGCTCAGTTTCCTCTTCAATGAGGTATCACCGTGTAAAGGGATGAAAAATATTGTAACACCATCATCAGGAGGTGCTGTCCGTTATTAAAATGAAGGTCAGTTATTGAAATGCTTGCATATCACTAAGTTCTGGGTTTGATCCCCAGCATCGAATAAACTGGGTGAATAGTGTACACATGAGCCTGCGATCTCAGTACTCAAGAGGCAGAGAAAAGAGGATAAAATGTTCAAGGTCATCTTCAACTGCATAGTGAGCTTAAGGCTAGCCTGTGACTCATAAGAATCTGACTCAAAACTATGTCTGGTGGATCATCCCACATATCAGTATATGTAGGAGAACTTGTAAATGCGCCATGGACTCCCTGGTATGGGTGTAGAGTACAGATTAATTACTCATTCTCCTTTTGTGTCAGTCTCTCCACCTTCCAGTTTCATGATCATGAGCAGTGTTTCAGAGACTTCTGTACTATGTATCTGTCACTTTGTCACTATGGATACATGTGCAATGGTCTCCAGGATCAGTTCCTTGAACTGAAATTGCTGGAAATAAAAGTATGCCCATTTTAATTACAGAAGACCTGCCAGATTGCTATCCAAAAACAAGGCACCAATTCATGTTCCTGCTAGAATCATATATGGCTGTTTCTTCCATCGCATGGGCAAACACTATAGCTCACTGTTTTCTAGCTTGCATTTCTCTCATGGCCACTGGTGTTGATGTGTCTTTTCATATACTTAGTGGCTACTTCCAGTCAGTCACTTGAAAATAGTCTTGTCTTATTCACAGTTCATTTTCTATTTTTAGGTATCTTTTTCTTGATATTACAATTCCTGTGTCTACCAAATTGCTTGTTAGTTACATCTATTCTGCTGAAAATATTTTCTAATTTAAACAGCTATGTTTTTCAATTGCATGCTCATTTTTCCCCTTATAACAGCCCTCTCTTGTTTCATGGATGACTTAGCTCGGTGAGAAAGATAATGTAGATCTCTTAAAGTTTCCTTCTGTTTCCTTTATAAGCTTGGTATTTTCTTAGAAATCTGTTGAACTTTGAGTTTGGCATTTCTCTGTTTTTGAGGTGGTCCTTAAATACTTCAAGAATGAGACAGTTTTCCAACTTTCAATCTCAAGTTTATCAGTTAATAGACAATTTCTGTTTCCCAAATCCAGCATCTTCTGCTGTAGGTTTGGGGCCAACAATGAGTGGCTCTTTGAAGGCTATGGGAATGTCTGTACTTTGGATCTCCTCAGTTTTACCAAGAACAGGGGCAAACATTTACTGGAGTTGCGTATCAAATCTGCCCACAGCTTGCACATGTTCTCAGGCACTCATTTGTTTTTCAACAATTATTCCACAATATTACTTGTCGGTGGTCTTCCTTCTTATTTTCTCATGCAGCACTGATGCATTTCATTTTTTTCTTAAAAGATTTCTGCTTTTATTTCTGGAAAGTTGATTGAGGGGAGGTAGGTGCATGACCTTATTCTTTTCATCTCCAGTTCTCTACCTGATTCCCCATGAGCATTTATATCTTTTCTTGATCCTAATTTGATTTTCTTTCTTCTTTTTCCCTTTAGGAGGAAATAATCACTGTTTCAGGGGGAGAGTTGCTGCAGGAACCCTGTGGACAGAGGGATAGCCCACCAGACTATCACCTGTTGTTTGAATGATGTTTTTCCTCCTCTATGGATTCCTTTGAATATTCCTATATTGAACTGAACTTAAGAATATCCCAACTCAAAGTCTCATGGCCTTCTAGTAGACCCACCACCCATAAGATGAACGAATTTCCAAATGTGACCTGCAAAATGTGACTGCATTTGTGAGACTGGTCCAATCCCAACACTCAAGACAGAAACTCTAAATAACCAATGTTCCTGGAGGCCTGACTGTCATGGTTGTGCTAAGCAGAACTCCTAGAGTGAATATTTTAGTAACCAAAAGCAATTCCAGTGCCGAACCATACATTTAATATAGGGTCAACACCTAATAAGTGTTTGTTGAGTGAATGCCCTTCTGAAAAAAGTCCCAACACCAATGTGCAATGGTTTCTCACAAATTATTTTCTAAACTATGTCATATAGTTACAGGGCCCAGGTCCTTCTCCAAGAGATCAGACTGAGAGAGCATCCCTCACTGTGGGAGGGCTGTTTAACCACTTATACATTATCTCATATCTTGGCTCCAAGGAACTGTTTTACCTGCCTTGAGAGTTGTGTCAAGCATCTCTTATTCTCCACTCAATCTCTTGGCTCTTCTGTCTCTCTCCTTCTTGGACATCACCCACACCCATGTCTACCACTACAGTCAGTTTCGTGTGACTGACTCTGCTTTTGTTCACTCACCGTGTTCTTCAGCCTCACGTGTACATATGCCAATGACACTTTGTCACACATGGTTCTTAGGGGGGCATGTATTTGCTTATCTTTTAAACAGTTTTTCTTTATTCTTGAGAATTTCATACATCTATACAATGAAAAAATGACAATATTTACTGTCTCCCTTCCCCCGCCCTCCCCCCTCCGTCTACCCCAGTGTGCTCCCATCATTAGGTATTTATAAAAAAAATAACTCACTAAGTCCAATTAGTACCACCCATATGTGCATGGATGTGACCTTTCATTGCACCATGGAATTCTTACTAGAGGCCACATGTTCCAAGAATAGTGACATGTCTTCTCTAGCGATTGTCAACTACCAATACCTCTTCAGTAAAGGCTAGGACTAGAAGGCATCTTTTGTAGTTTCTTCATTTAAAATCTGAACAAGATTTGTATGTATTCTTTTAAGTCTCAGAGAACGCCTCTCTTCCTTTATTGCACAAATTGGGCAGTTCTGAAAAAAATATCCTGTGTTCTGGACTTGTCTTATTGTTTGCTGCTGTTATTTTTGTATTGGCTGTATTACATATTTTTGGCTTGATGAGACTGATACTGAATTTTTGGGGAAGGAAACGTTTTTAGTACATGATATCACAAGGCTCTTTAAGACACATTGGCCCGAATTTTCTAGTCTTCTTCATCAGTGGACTCAGAATATCTAATTACTTCAGTTGTCCTTGATCACTTACGCCCCCCCGTTTTTGAGCTAGGATCTCAAGTAATGCATCATGACACTAAACCCACTTTGTTGAACTACTGATCTTCCTGTCTCCACCTCCCATGCTCCAGGATTATGTATTACCACTATGCGTGGGTCCCCCCTTTTTTACCTCTTCCTTTTAGTAAAAACAAACAAACAAAGGTTACTATTTATTTACGCCCTGTTGCGCAGTGAGCCTTGAGATAATGCAAAGGTTGGTCAATCATGTCTTCTTCCTTCATCCTCCTGGAGGGATTGTTCTAAAAGCCAGCCCTTGATGCAGTCTCTTAGAAGACAATCATGAATGATGGTGTAGCCAGGTACACCTACGTCCCTATTGTCACTCATTCTCTGCCTCTTACCTCTCTGGGATATTCTTCTGGGATGCTACCCCTGAGTCAAGTAGCTATCATACTTAGTCTCCACCTTCTGGGGACCCAAGGAGAGTACTTACTTTCCAAACATGTATTTTTCCTTTTTGTACCTTGAGTTAGGGTATTGCCAGGTAGATCAAGTGGCTTGGAAGTTATCATGTAGCTCAGGTCTGGTCTGAGTTCATGATCTTCCTGTGTTAGCCTCCTGATTGCTGGCATGACATGTGTGTGACAGCACGATTGGCCCCAATATGTTAAGTTATAGCAATTTTATGAATCAGTTCCATTGCTTCCCTCCAGTCAGCCTGTATCAGTGTATGAATGAAATGAAGTGATGGTAGAGGGACTCTGCTTTCTGAACTCTATGGTATTCTCAAGCCACAGCCAAGTTCTTTCCAAATTATGTTATTTCTACCTGCACAAAGAATATCTACTTTTGTTCTGATTTTGCTGTGTACCAGCATGTAAAGTTATTCAGGCCACCAAATCTCACTAAACCTCTGTGCAACTGAGATGAAGATTTTTTTGTGTGGTCATCATTAGTTTCTTCTGGCTGATCAATTAAGTGACAAATAGGGTATCTATGTCCAAATGAAACACCTTGCTGTCCACAACCACACAGTGCTGTGTCAGGGGATTCCACAAGATGATTTCCCACACACTGGAAGAAAGTTCCAGCAGCAGCTTTGAAAGGAGTACAGGATGGGTTGAAAACCTGACATCTTGGCCGTGGTTCCTGTCGACTGCTAATTAATATGTGAGAGATAAGAGCTGAATTTTCCATCCCTAACACATTTATTTCATATTATTTGGAGCCTGCACTTTCTGCACGTCTCATATATTTTAGGTTTTACCTGGCTTTCAAATAAATTCCTTGTAAGTTGTCCTGCAAATGAAATTACTGTCTGGAAAACTGCAATTTCATCTTGAGAGTTTTATTATGCTAATAAATGTCAGAATTCTCAAATAAAGGAATGGCCTCCCCTCTTTTTTCCACATGCCTTACAAATATAATGAAAAACAGCCAGTCAGCTCCAAGACTCAGCAGAAGGAAAATTTACAATCTATAACTAGAAATAGAAGCTGTAAAAAACAATATGCATCTTAATGGAAGATAAATTTCATGGAATTAAAGGGCAAATTGGGGTACAGATTCTTGGAGATTCCTGTGTGACAAGTATTCTTAGGGGGCATTTAAGGGTTCATGAGCTAAAAGGGGGTGAGGGAGAACATAGGTCTTTAGAAGATACGTGATGGTGATAACCTGGGGCCTGGGGGACTTTGTACTCCTCTGTCCACTTGAACCTTTCCTTTCTTTCAAGACTCACATGTGCTCTGGGGTGAGTTTCTCCATTTTCTCTACTATTTTGGTAGATATATTGTGTGTTTCAGAGGATGGGTTTGAAAACCACATAAGATTTTGTAGTAATAGCGATTCTTGTTTTCAGTGATGATTGTGTGCTTGGATGAATGTGGATTCTCACCACATGCCTGAGGGAAATGCTGTGCGTGTGGAAGCTGAGGCACACAGAGAGGTTCAGATTTTCTCAGGTCACCTCTCTGTCCAGGCAGAGTACATAGGTTCATCACCGTCTGGCCTCTGGGTCTCTGTAGACTGTACATCAGTGCTTCTCAAAGTAGAACATGTGGTTGGCACTGCACTGATTCTTCCTTACGAGTTTCTTAGAGGTGCTGCACGGTTGGTGGACTGAGCACTGAACTTTGAGAAATCAGTTATCTAAGACAGGAATTGGGGGCTAGGCATGCACCTCAGTTTATAGTGTTCTTGTTGACTATGCATGAAGTCCTGGTCGTAATTCTCAGTACCACTTAAATTAAACATGGTGATGCATATCTATAATCTCATCCCTTGGGAGGATTAGAAGTTCAAGGCCAGCCTCAGTAATATAGAAAATTCATGGCCAGCCTGGGATACATGAGACTCTATCTCCAAAAATAAAATAAAAATTATAAAGCAAGTGGTAGATAATTAGAGCTGCAAACCAGACAACCATGTGCAGGGATTTCCTCAGGATGTGAGATAAGAATGGCTGTTTTAAAATGATTTTTAAGGATTTATTTATTATGTTTACAACATTCTGCCTCCATGTATGCTTACATGCCAGAAGAGAGCACCAGATCTCATTATAGATGGTTGTGAGCCACCAAGTGGTTGCTGGGAATTGAACTCAGGATCCCTGGAAGAACAGCCAGTGCTCTTAACCCCTGAGCCATCTCTCCAGCCCAAGAATGCTTAAATAATTGGAAAAAATTAAAACGAACAATATTTTATGGCCTGTGAAAATCACATTAAAATCAAATTTCAGTTCAGTTCAGACAATAAGGTTTTATTGTCATCAGTCACGCTCATCTGTTTATATATTATTTTTGGCTGCTTATGAAGTACAAGGCTAAGATATTTATTATCTGGCCCTTTTAAGAAAAAGTTTGCTGACTCCTGTTTTAAATTATGGTGCATATATTATGAATCATTTTGCTTTCTTTCTCTGCTTCATTGAGATCTACTCTTAGTGCTGTAGTCAGCTTTCCAGAACTGTGCTAAAATATCCAAGAGAGACAATGTAAGAGGAAGAAAGTGCTTTGGCTCCTGCTTTCAGACCATGGTCACTTAGATCTGTTGCTTTGGGCCTGGGTGGCACAGTACAAAATGGCAGGGAGAATGTGACAGAGGAGACTTGTTTAGCTCATGGCAGTCAGGCAACAAAGAGAGAGACAAGAGTGGACAGGATCCCAGGTACCCCTCCCCCACCACACACACGAAGACATACCTGCAATAACTTCACTTCCTTCCACTAAGCTCAATCTCTTGAAGGGTCTGCCTCCTTCCTGTAGTGCTGCAGACTAGGGGCCAAGTCTTTAATTCGTAGGACTCTGGGAGATATTTCCAAACCACAGGGCTTAGGAACGATTCTAACACCACAGTGCATGCTTCAGAGAAACCTAAGTAAATGCATTACATTTTATAATAATCTTTCCATCTTACTTTTGGATTGTAGCTCATTTCTAGTATTCACAAAGGGGGTTGTTCTTGTCCGGGGTTCTAATCAAATGCAAACAGACAGTGCCATAATTGTATAGACACTTCACTTAGTCATATGATCGCTTAGAACACAGGCAACTGCTTTGTATGTTTAGTCCTCTAATCAGTGAGGTCCTGGGGAATCAGGAAGTGCCATGTGTGTGTCTGTGTACTTCAGGATATCTGGAACAGTCAGTGCAGAATTACATTTTTTAATGGACTAAAGACTACAGGGTATACAGATTTCAGAGACCCACTTTAAGCTGTAGAGGACCCCTATGATGGAAAGCCTCAGGTTGGGAATCTTGCTGCCCTGGAATAGAATCCCAAAGTTACTGCTTCATACCAGTGGGACAAACAGGAAGCAAGCAGGCAGATGATATGAGAGTCAGAAGCAGTGTTGTTAACACGCTGAGATGGGGAAACTGAGAGTGGAAACAGGAGTCATATCTTGGAAGTAAGGTCTATGAAGCCGCAGCATGCAGTAGGAACCAGAGCCCCTCTCATTCACACCCGTGTTTTCCATAGGACTTCAGACTAGCCAGTAGTAACACCACATGGCGTTCTGAATAATCGAGGTAAAAGGTGTTTAGTATTTATCACTTACCCGCACCCCCATGTGTGTGCAGAAGTCAGAGCAAGACATTGGTTGTCTTTCTCTATGGCTGTCTGATTTACTGCCTTGATTCAAGGTCAGTTACTGTACCAGAAACTTATCATTATGGCTAGGTTGGCTGGCCATTGAGCTCTCAGGATTCACCTGCCTCCAACCCTCAACATTGGGGTCACAGACACATGGAGACTTGCCTGACTTTCTAGGTAGGTACTAGGGGTTTAAACTCAGATTCTTACCACTGAACCATGGCCCACGTCCTGGCATTTACACTATTTCAGTGGCGTTAAGTGCATTCACATTGTGAGTGTCAATACTATATATTCTGTACATACTAAACAGTGACCCTCCCTCTCATCTCCCCCAGCCCTTGGCACCTTCTAGTCTATTTCTTGTCCTTGCAAGTTTACTGGTGACTATAAGTGGAATAATGCAGTATTTGTATTCTTCTAAGTGCCATATTTCACTTAGTATCACACCTTCAAGGCTCATTCATGTTGTAGATGTATCAGAATGTCCTCTTTAGCTATCTATACAACAACCCATCTGATTCACACAGCTTATTTTAGTTACTCATTAGTCTGTTGATGGTCATTTGGGCAGCTTACATATCTTGGATAATGCTAATTTGAACATGGGTATGGATCTTTTGACACTTGTCATACTAATTCTTTAAACTTTTTTTCATGCAATGTGTTTGGATCATATTATCTCCCCTTCCCCAGCTTCTCCTACAGCCTCCCTGCATCTCTGTTTACCCAGCTTCATGTTCCTTGTCCTTCTATTTTCTCTCTCTAAAAAAACAAAAACATCAAAAATATTCATACACACACACACACATTCAAAAGCCAATAAGACAAAACAAAGCAAAAACATGAAAAAAAAACCCATGGAGTCTGTTCCTGGCCGTGAACCTACCCTACAGTCTGGTTGACATACAGTGACTCGTCATAGGAGGAAACTGATTTCCTTTTGCCAGTCCATACCAGTTAGGAATAGCTTCTTGGTTAGAGGTGGGGCTTTTTGTCCACTTCCTCCTCCAATTTGTCTTGACATGATTATTCTAATACCTCCAAAGTACACAGATTCTGGCCGCTTTGTTCTGAGTACATTTTAACTTCAGCTTCTCAGTCTCAGGGAGTACACTTCCCCTTTTTTCTCTCTCACTAGCCTCACAACACCTCTGTTATGTGCCCCCTGTTGCTTTAGGGTATGTCAGCTTGACTTGAGCTGTATATGTGAAGATGGAGTTTTATGTTCCACCTGGTCCTGCAGCCACTTAGTCCCAAATAAACACACAGAGACTTACATTAATTATAAACTGTTTGGCCAATGGCTCAGGCTTCTTATTTGACTAGTTCTCTCTTAATTGTTAACCATTTTTTATTAATTTATGTATTTCCACATGGTCTTGGCTTACTTGCAACTACATGGCATCCCTCTGGTGGCTCTTTCTCTGACTTCCTCTTCCAGCATTCTCCTAGTCTGGTAGCCCCACCTATACTTCGTGTCTGGCTACTGGCCAATCAAAATTTAATTCACCGACCAATAAGAGAAACATATTTTACAGCACACAGAGGGACATCCCCCATCATATATGTGTTCCCAGTAGCCTTGAGCTGATGGGACACAGAGATGACTTTGTGAAGCCATCTATGGCAGACACTAAGTAAGGCTCAGTGTCTTAGTTTGCAGTTTCTTGGGTCAAGTGTTTAGATGGTTTAGATTATGGAGAACATCTACATCAAACTACCACACCTATTATTTTTCATATATTTGTTAGTCACTCATAAGTATTTTCTTTTGAGAAACACCTGCTCAGATCATTTGTTCATTCAATAAATCAGATTACTTACTTGTGCGCTTTTTCTATTCTAGATATTTACCCCATTGGTGACTTGGTTGTTGCAGTCATTTTTCATTCTGATTGTTGTCTCTTCATCATCATGGTGGCTTTGTTTGCTCAAGAAGCTACTCAATTTGACACAATCCTGTTTGTGTAGCTTTGTTTTTGTTGCCTAGGCTAATGATGATGAAAAATCATTGCTTATATAAACATCCTGAAATGTTCCCTTATGAAATCACCATGGGAATGCAAATCAAAATCATGATGAGATATGATCAGAATGGTTACTCTCCCAAAATTGAAAAATCAGAGATGATGAAGGTGTGGAGGAAAAGGCCCCTTAGAACTGGTAGAAGAATAGCTCCCCATATTTTCCCTGGAGATTGTACCTGGGATCCAGCAAGCTAAGAAAGCCCTA